CGGGAAAGCCCCCAGCCGGGACTCCAATCTCTCCTTGGTGTGCCTGTCATTCAGTCCCTCCCAGCGCCATCACCATCCTGGGATCTGCAACACAGTCTGAGAACAAGAATGTGACCCTTTGCTGCCTTACGAAGTCCAGTCGCCCACGGGTCCTGCTGCGATGGTGGCTGGGTGGACGACAGCTGCAGCCCACAGATGAGACAGTCATGGATGTGAGGATGTGGGGGATGATGGTTTGGCATCCCCTGAGGCCCTGGACCCTGAGGAGCCCAGACTGAGGCCCCAACTCCTGGGGCTGACACAAGAGGGTGGTGGCAATGCTCCAGATGTCCCTGCTGGGGTCTGGTGGCCCCAGGCCTCTGCTACTGTGGGCGGAAGCTCCTCAGGAAATAAATCTGAAGTTCACTCCTGCTAGGGCCTGCATGGTGGCCACATCTCCATGTCCAATCTGACACTCTTGGTGCGGAGGGAAGACAATGGCTTGTCCCTTACCTGCGAAGCCTTCAGCGATGCCTTTAGCAAGGAGACCTTCAAGAAATCACTGACCTTGAATGTGAAATGTGAGCCCTAGCCTAGAGCCCAGAGAGTCCCCGGGCTTCACAGACCTCACCCTGAGGCTCCAGTCCAGACAAAAATGTCTTTTCTTTCCTCATCTCTCACTAGACCCCGCCCAGAAGCTGTGGATTGAGGGACCCCAAGAGGGGCAGTTCATTCGGACTGGGACGAGAGTAAGGCTGGTGTGTTTGGCCATTGGAGGCAATCCAGACCCCTCCCTCACCTGGCTTAAGGTAGGTGCCAGTGTCTGTCTGTGTGTGTGTGTGTGTGTGTGTGTGTGCACGCGCTCGTGCTCTCATGTATACAAGTGTATGTAGGGGCAAGCACATGTACTTTACTGACTGAACTATATTCTTAGCCCTTTTCTTTCCTAAGAAAAGATATTACGTAGTCCAGGCTGGCCTAGAACTTTTTTGTTTGTTTGTTTTGTTTGTTTGAAACAGGGTTTCTCTTTGTAGCCCTGGCTGGCCTAGAGCTCCCTATGTAGACCAGGCTGGCCTGGAACTCACAGAGATCCGCCTGCCTCTGCCTCCCGAGTGCCAGGATTAAAGGCATGAGCCATCACCACCCAGAAAAAAAATTTAAAGGTTTATTTATTACTTTTTATGGTTATTTTACCTGCATAAATGTCTGAGAACATTTGTGCTGAGTGCCTTGAGAAGAGGGTGTCAGTTTCCCTGGAACTGGAGTTGCAGACAGCTGTGAGCCGCCATGTGGGTGCTGGGAATTGAACCTGGGTCCTCTGGAAGAGCAGCCAGTGCTCTTAACTACTGAGCCATCTCTGCAGCCCAAGAGTGGACATTTTAAGAAAGACAGCTGACAGGGTGAGATGGCTCGCCGGAAATCTTAGCGCTTGGGAGGGGAAGGCAGGAAAATCAGAAGTTCAAGATCATCCTCAGCTCCCTAGAGGCTTGCCTTTGGGGTCATTCTTGGCTACATGAGATGCTGTCTCAAGTAAAACAAGGCAAAAACAACAAAGACAAAGAAAAGCGAGACTCCTGTTCCGGGTCTGGGAATTTCAAGGGAGTTTCCTGACAGGCAGTGTTCTGTAAACATGGCAGTTTGGGGGTGTGGAGCCTGCAGCAGGCAGAGGGCTGGTGAGGTCGGGGTGAGGTCGGGGTGCACCACAGGCATCAGGGCCCCCAGACCATCAAGGCAGGCGGGAAGACCAGGACTGGGAGTACTCACTTCCAGTCCCCATTCCTTTAAGGTAGTGAGTGGGGTGCCGGCTCTTGAGGGCGCCTTTATCACACGAGGGCCCTGTCTGGGCTGGTGGCCACCCACCCTGTTTGGGTCCTCAGGACTCACGAACCGTGAGCGAGCCTCGGCAGCCCCAGGAGCCGCGACGTGTGCAGCTGGGCAGCCTGGAGAAGTCGGGCAGCACTTTCTCCCGCGAGCTGGTGTTGGTCATAGGGCCTTCGGACAACCGAGCCAAGTTCTCGTGCAAGGCGGGTCAGCTCAGCGCGTCCACGCAGCTGCTGGTGCAGTGTGAGCGCACAGGACAGGCGGGTGGGGAGTGGTATAGACTCCTT